GCATGGCCCCGCCCCTGCTCCACACCAGTCCTGCCTCTTCCTGCCCCTGCTGCACCCCAGCCCTGCCCCCACTCCACCCCTTCCCCAAAGCCCCTGCCTCTGATCCGGCCCAGCCCCGCCCCACTCCACCCCTTGCCCTGAGGACAGCATCGGGGCTGGGCCTACCCTGCACTCACCGGGTGGCAGGAAGTGGAGCAACCCGACCCCAGCCCGCTCTGCACCGCCGGCTCCTACCCGCTCTGCCAGTGAGTGCTGGAGGGGGGGTTCACCCTTGCCCCCCAAGTCCCAAGGTTGGGAGCCAGAGGAGCAGAGCGGAGCGGCTGGGGCCAGGTCGCTCCACTTCCCGCCTCCCAGTGAGTGCGGGGTCGGGCCTGCCCTGCACTCACTGGGTGGCAGGAAGTGGAGCGACCCGGCCCCAACCCACTCCGCTCTGCCGGCTTGTGCTGGGGGGTGGTTTCCCCCTTGCCCTCGAAGCCTGCTCCTGCCACCCCCCTGCGGAGGCCTGGGGCCACCCCCCCGGCAGGGGGGGCTGCGTAGGGCACCAAAATGGCTAGGGACGGCCCTGGCTACCCCTCTGGAAGTGTTCGTGCCATTAAACGAGGCACTGGTGAGACCTCCTTTGGAGTACTGTGTGCCGTTCTGGGCTCCCGTGCATAGGCGCCGACTCCATGCGTGGGTGCTCTGCAACTCAAGCACCCACGGGGAAAAAAGTAGTGGGTGCACAACATCCAGGAGCCAGAGCTTGAGTGCGAACTGTGAGGAGTTCTCTGCTGCTAACAACTTCTGCCCTTGGGGCAGGGAGTTTGTGTATAAACAGAGGCAGGGGGATTAAGATAACAAAGGGCTTGTCATTACAGTAAATTAAGGATCATTAGATGATCCTGAAAACATTGCCAGGCACTCCAGTTAAAAGGTAGGAAACAAAGGGTAGAAATAAATGGTCCATTTTCAGCATGGAGAGAAGTAAATAGTGGTGTCCCCTGAAGGGCTTGTACTGGTCTGGGACCAGGGCTGTTCAACATATTCATAAAAGATCTGCAAAAAGGGGGGAATAGTGAGGTGGCAAAGTTTGCAGATGATACAAAACTACTCAAGAGAGTTCAGTCCAAAACAGACTGCAAAGAGTTAGGTGACTGGGCAATAAAATAGCAGATGAAATTCAATGTCAAATGCAAAGTATTGCACATGGCAAAATATAATCCCAACTAGCCATACAAAACGATGGTGCTTAAAGTAGCTGTTCCCCATCAAGAAAGAGATCTTGGAGTCACTTACGTACTCTGCAAATTCATAAGAATACTTCTCACTATGCCTGTATCATCCTGAACACATTCTCCAGCTTCAGAAGGTTTAAAAATCATTCCAGTCATCAATCGAACAGACTCAACTCAATAACGTAACTGTCCTTAACGTGCATCAAAACAATCCCAGGGAACTAGATGTAAAGAAGATTGCTGACGGTTTCATCCAGAAGGGACAGGGAGCTAGAATGCCTTTACCCTGGGACGCTAGTGAAGACAGCTTGTGATTTCAATGGTTTGAATATACTGGAATTCAGGATAATGTAATTATGTCGTTCATAACAATTGAATCATTATTAAAATAGACACATTCAATAACTAGAATTTGAAAGACGTGTATCGAGATGCTGAAAATAGCCTCCGCCCAAAACTGGCAGAGTGCCCCCCCCCTCTTCAAAAGCACCCACCGGCCAAACAAAACCCAGCACCTTTGTGTTCTGACTTTAGTGAGTGTATCTGAGCGAGCGAAGGGCTTGGTCCAGGGCAGCACCCAGCAACTGAGGCAAGTCAGGCCAATCTTCTGTGTCCTGTTGTTTCCCTTCTGTGAAATGGGAGCCCAGCCTTGCAGGCCACACAGCTCGCAACGGGCATGACTGGGGGTGGTGGCCCGTGGAGACCTCGATAACTGGGGGAAGGAAGCAGCACCTGACAGATCCCCCGACCCCCGTCGCTGCGGGTCTCAACGCTCACACCGACCCCGCTGAGCCGGGTCCCGCGGGGACCGCGGTTCGAGTCCAGGCTCCCGCCCTAGAGCCTTCGGGGCTGGGCCCAGGGAAGCGAGTGGTCAGCGACCGGAGGCGGCCCTGCCCCGGAGAGCGCCCGGCGCCGCGATCCCCCCGCCGCCAGGGGCCGCTGCCGCCCCGCTCCTCCCCGCCGCTCCCGGGCCCCGGCAGCCAGGCCGCG